CTGCTTAGTTTCCAAGATCTGACAAGACTGGGCTAGCCTGGGCCATCCAGGTCAGGGCATGAAAAGGGGACAGGAGCATAAGTCAGAGAAACTGTGTTGTGCCAGTCACTGACAACTCTTGATTGTTGTGATATCTGAATGCAACCTCTGTACAATTCAAGTGTAATCAAGAAAAGCAGGGAGGGCACTCACAAGATCAGTAATGGGTGATAACTAGGGTTGCCAGGTCCCCTCGTCAATCCGGCGGGGGGATTTGGGGGATGTTCCGGGGTGGACAGGGATGTCACGCAACACAATGATGTCATCCAGAAGTGATGTCATCACATCAGCAACACCAGGGACAACGCTCTGGTTTTTGGGCAAAACTGTATGGTACATTCGCCCTCAAAGTATAGAGTTTTGCCCAAAAACCAGTGTGTCCCTGTGTGACGTTGCCGACGCGATAACAGCATTTCCGGGTAATGTCATTGAGTCAGGGCGGGGTTTTCCCCACCAGCCAGCTGATCCATGGTGGGGAGAAGACCCCCCCCAATGCAGGGGATCCCCATTCGGACCTGGGGGCTGGCAATCCTAGTGACAACTCAGTCTCCTAGTTTTCCTGAGAAAACCTTGGTCATTGTTCAGGCCTTGGGAAATGCGGTCACAGTTCCTGATGAGCTTAGTACTTTCATTCTGGAACCTACCCACCCTTTTGTTTTTTTTGTTTTTTTTGGGGGGGGAAGAATGATGACTTTAATGTGAGCACCAGTTTCCCTGAAGGCTGAAATGTTGTTAGAAACCTGCAGGAAAATAATTAAGTCTTCCAGGACCCTGTGTTGGTGGTCTGAAAGTCCCCATTCTTCAAGGAAAAAACTTCAAAGATAGGCTCTAGTGCTGAATTAGAAGTTAGAAAGACTTTGATTGCATTTCCTGAGACCTAAGTAAAGACATGCTGTCAATCTGTTTAGAAAAACAAGAGACTGCTTCATCACCAATCACTGGTATCATGAATGGCCACTGTATTTTTCTTGGATTGTATTTGCATAATAATGTCAAATTTGGACTTCTTTCATTTCATGAGCTTTTGCCTCACAGAAATTATTTCAAAGAAAAATAGCTTATGATGATACTGTACATGTAACCTTATGCATTTTTTTTTTAAAAAAATTGATGCTGGAAATAATGAAGTCAGTTAAATATAATATTGGCCTCACAGTATAAACCTCCTTTCTCAGAGCGCTGTTCCTTCTTTATAGAATTCCTGTAGCCCAGTTAGCTATTTGCCTAATGGCTGGATGGCTCATTTCACAAAGAAAGGCCATTGCGTATGTGTGAAAGGTGGGGGGAAGGGAGCCTTTTAGCCATTCTTTTCTGATCTGCAATTCCACAAGGTGGCACCAACACCTAATACATTCAAGACGGAAGCGTGTTTACATTTCAAAGCTGGCCACCCGTAACAGATTAGTGGATTAATATTTTGCTCTAAAGGATCTGGCCTTTACTGTTGACATCAATTTATGTGCAGCACAGGCTTTTGCAGTTGTAAAAGTCATCCAGACTATAAACTGCACAATAGATGTCAACTGATTTCTTAGTGTGTCTCCCTAGAGCACCTCATAAACAGCTGTGGGGAGCTCACTGTTCTTGCAAGATCCATCACAGCCGTGTGATGTCTTTCTCAGCGCCAGCACAAAGTAGGTCCGTCACTGGTATTTTTCCGCCAACCACAAAGAGAGTGACGTGGTTTTATTAATCAGCATCTATTTTCCCTAACAAGTGTCTTTTGTGCTGCTTCTGCGCACGGAGGCTTATCACTGATCTCCATTGCAAATAAAACACTGTGTCTATTTATGGACATGGCTTAAAGAACAGTAGAGCTCATGTACCATATTAGAACTTTTTGAAAAAGTGCCAAAGTACAGAGGTCAAGTTTCCTGTGCTATAAGCAACTTAAACAGGAATGCAACACACACACACACACACACACACACACACACACACTCCCCTCCAACAGCTTCGTTTGCAAAAAATATCTGGCATTGGCTAAGTAAACTAGGTCACTGCACACATTATGGTTAAACACTTTGGTCTAATGCAAATAAGCAATTTAACAGTTTTAGGAAAACTTAAGGCAGACGGTATCAGCTGGAAAACCTGCAGTTCAGAATTCATGCATTGACTATGCTTCTGCAGTGTCACCTTTGAATCAATGATGGGACCACATTAACGGTTTGGAAATGTTGCCTTGCAGTTGTATATAACCACCCTCATTATCATATTGCAGAAAAGTATTATAAAATGTGATTCCTAGAGTATTCTGTTTAGCAGTGCTTTTCAAGCTTGCCTGCATTCTAAGACTCGCTTTGATACATTCACGCCATTTAAGCGTACACCTGGAAATGTAGCATGCAAATGAGACAAATGTTATAAAGCTACTCAGAGGGCCAGTACTGTACATTTGACAAGAACTACAGTCGGATACTAACCTGAGTGTGCTGCCACTTTGGCCCTGACTAAACTGCTTCCCTACCTTACTGTGAACTGCACGGTTGATGGTTCAATCTCACCTGGTATTAACCAGAGGAGTTATGCAACTAGTTGCACGGTCAAGAAAAGTTATTTATAGAAGGGCTATTACGAGAGAGTTTATTTGTGAAGGAATTATAGATGCTGGGAGTATGATGAATCTAAGCTTTAAACAACTTTACAGAATAAAAGTCAATCCCCACCAAAGCAGAGGACTCTCTCATCCATTTTATACAGAATATTTGAATTCAAACAGTGCACAAGCTGCTCAGAATATACTTCTAAATAACACTGAACCAATAAGGTGAAGAAACCTGATCATTATACAACTATAGTCCTGTCCCCATTCTTTGGGCATAGATTTTCCTGGCTCGAAATATCAAAACCTCACTTCCACCAAGTCCAAGTTTAAAGCTGCAGATTACTTAAACAGCTATAAGTGGATGTATGGTTACAATACCTGGCTTTCACACAAATACAGAGGATATTGTAATAAATTATAATGGTATGATTTTAGAAGCCTACGCAATTATTGTTTGAAATCACTTGTGTGTGTTACTCAAAATATTACTTATATTGATGTCTTTTGTTCTTGACTACTTTTTCATCCATATTCTTTAAGGGAAATTGAATTTCTGCATTTTAAATGATAATGTTATCAGAAGGCTGAAACCAAAATACTATCAAGTTCAGTTCCCTGCCTCAAAGCAGAACTCCCCACCCCATTCATTTTTAATGGATCCTTCCATACACTACTTATAAGATAACCAGTGATAAATAGCAGGTGCCTCACACAGAAGCACACATTAAACTGCTTTATACAGAATCAGACCATCAGCCTCTCAAAGTCAGTATTGTCTACTCAGACTGGCAGTGGCTCTCCAGGATCTCAGGCAGAGGCCTTTCCCCTCACCTAGTGACAGACCCTTAAATGGAAATGCTGAGGTTTGAACCTGGGACCTTCTGTGTGCTACGCAGATGCTCTACCACTGAGCCATGGCCCAAGAGTTAGCACTGAGAAAGCAAATAAGTCCAGTTCACCCAGGGAAGCCAAGCTACATGTTAAAATCACACACATGGTCTGTTCCACAAGGTTAGGGTTGTGTTACATGTTACAGTGAGGCTATTTTAATAAGAAAACTAATCTGATAACTTTTCCATTTGGTCTCAAATATTATCATGTATAATATAATGGGAATTATATTCCTATCATGTTGCTCACACTGAGGTTTGAGCATTATTAAATAAAGACATCCTTGCTGTAGTATGAGCTTTCGTGAGTCACTGCTGAGTTCTTCAGGTATCTGAAGAAGTGAGCAGTGACTCACAAAAGCTTATACCCTGCCACATATTTTGTTGGCTTTAAGGTGCTACTGGACTCTTGCTCTTTTCTACTGCTACAGACTAACACAGCTACCCATCTACATCTTTGCTATTACTAAATCAAATGAAGAGCAGTGTACATTTTTACCATAAATAGAACAAGGTAGGCTAAGAGTAAGCTTTAGCATCAAACCGCTGCAACCTTGTTAAAAAGGGAACATACAGGTTGTTAAACGCCTGATACTTTACTTAGATTTAAGTGACAATTTAGGAAACCTAACAATAGTAATAATGATAAAGCATACTTCTGCTGTAAGGTAAATATTTGGAAGCTGGTACTTTTCATTCATTTTCCAGTTGTAAGACAACTGGCTCCTCTTTTCCTAATAAAACCTTTCCCATCATTACCAGCATTCTTTCCCCCTTCTTTCTCTCCTAATGTTATCTCAGATTTCAGTGCAATGCAAGTCTATCACCTGCTAGAACACTTTTATGCCTGATACAAGAAACCAAAATTTGCAGTGCCCTTGCGTATCTGTCTTTCCTGAAACCCTTCAGCACAACATAATTTTATGTAAAGAACAAAGTTTCATAGATATATCAAATGACAGCATTTATAAAAATTAAAGTTTAATAGATAAATAGAATAAATACTTTATGCATCATAATTCTGGACAACTACATTTAAAGCAAGTAAGTTGGCAAATCACAAAATTGTTGCCTCTTGGCAATTTTACTTTTGATAAAATTACACAGGCATGTTACAATGTTATTTATGAAACTGTAATGTCATATTTATGCTTAAATCCTTTTCACCTTCTGCACCAATCATGACATACAAAATACAATGGTGTCATGTACGTTTTCCTTCAAAACATTTCTCGCAGGACCCAACAGTTCAACAAATTCAGACTGACTATGTGTATCAAACATTGGTGGGGGGAGAGAAGGATAAATTAAAGAAAAAAAATGTATTGGTAAATGATGTCTAGGAATAATTAAAGCATTTCTCAACTTTTTTATTGACACAGGCAAATTAAAATAGAATAAATTAACAAGTATGTCCTCAAAAAAAGTTTTGTACAAAAATACTGTCAAAATTTCCTAAAAAGCTTTCAACACAGTAGTATTTTCCCATTGAACTGAATAAACTATGTAAGCATGATGCCAAAATAAAAGAAAGGCTGCTGAAAGAGCTAGAACAATTTTTTTTAAAAGAAACCCCCGACTAGAGACCATTCCATTCATACTATTATTATTGTCTGTACAGATGTGAAGGAGAACAGATAGCAGAGTTTAAGGAACTGGTTTCTTTTTCCTGATCAGGGAAGGTTTGGCCCACATTTCTTAAGCTTCCAGTTTAAGCAGACTAAAAGTTAGTAGCACTGCAATGCATAGTTAAAAACAAAGCAAGAGGGCAGTATTTGTGCAGGAATCTACCCTGAACTTCATGCAACCAACTAATGCATTTTTTTGTCCTTTAACTCAGAATCTGAATGCTGTCCTAGTTATTTGAAATGATAGCCTACAGAAAATCCACAAGTTTAAGCAATCTGCCAATATTCATAACAGTTGAAATAACTGGCATATTACCAGTGGGGGGAAAAAATAAGCAGAGACTGAGAAATTCTAAAGACTGAATCATTACAGGGAGGGAGGGCAGAAATGAGTATCCAAGGTTAAACATAAAGAAATGACAGCAATTAAAAACAAAGAAGGGAGAAATCATATTTATACAAGCTTATAGTTTACTCTGTTTCCCAGATACTCAAGATCCTAAAAGCCTTTGAGATACTGTGTCTTGAGGGAATGTTTGCATTCACACAGATAAAAAGTCCTTTTGTTTCACAAGAAGTCAGCAGCTCACTCTGCTGGACTGCTGTTTGCAAACGAAGTCTGTCATGAAATCAAACTCATTCTGTCCCAACCACAGCTCGGGAAGCTCCTTGATGCGGTCCAAGCCCATTTCTATGACTAAGGACATGAGCACCTCCTCATCTATGAAGTCAGTGTCTATGACATTGGGAGGCAGCATTGCTGCAGGGACGTGGGGCACAGAGGCGGGCACGCTGCCGCCGCCACTGTTGCTGTGCTTCGGGTTGCAGTCTCTAAAATGCTGGGCTGCTCCATTGAGCTGATGATTGGCAGGGTGCAAGTCCGGCATGTAGTGGTTGTGAGGATACGGATGGTGGCTGAAGTACTGGTTGTTGAGCTTCTGCAGCTGCATGCTGGCTGTTAAAGGCCCCCCTTGGGTTGCCACCGCAGGGGCCATGAACTGGGAACTGGTAAACCTGGCCGTCGGCGGCATGCTGCTCGGAGGGTGACCCCCATTCACATTCCCCGGCCCCATGGCGTGTCTGATCCCACTGTTTGCATTCATATTTCCACCTCCATAATGTATATGGTCGCTCATCAAAGCGCTGAAGGCATGTTGCTGTTGCTGATGATGGTGGGGGGTGGGAAACTGACCCATTCCCATTCGATGTGCGGGATGGTGATGAAGCCCATTGGTTCCATCAGGGAAGCGCCCGTGGTTCATGGCCATCATGTGGTCTGCCATTTCCAGCCTTTAAAAGTTAATATTTACAGAGAAAGAGATAAACATTTCTGTTCCAGCCACTGATGCTCCCTTTCTCAGAAAACTCACTATCCCAAGGAAACAGTTGCAGGCTGTAGCCGACTCATCCTGAGATCTCCCCGCCCCCCTTCTCTCTTTAAAAAACAAAACAGAGAAATCGGCCACAGCAAGACCCATTTGCAATAATTTTCTTTAAAAACTACAAGAAGTAAGGAAGCACCTTGTGAGAGTCGCAACTCGTGCACACCTAGAAGCCAAAGAAGCCTGCACAACGGCAACAAGCCACCCTCCTCCCCAAAACACACTTATTTAAAAATAATGTGCTCTGAAATAAGCGCCTCTGGATCTGAAAAAGCATGCACGTTTCTAATGTAACCTGCCCAAACATAAAAGCTTTGCATAAGAACTACAGAGGGCACGGCTCTCTACCCGACCTTTTCTCTCCTTGTCAAGAACTTCGGGAATTAAAGTCTGCAAAGGATTGTTTGTAATATGAACGTTAAGTGGATTTCAGGGCGCCGGCTCAAAAGTCCTGCTTTCCCTCCCACCCCACCAAACATTCTCATTCATATTCTTGCCGAAAGGAAAAAAAGAAAGGGGGAAACCAAGCTCTTTCGCCACTCACCTCACGCCCTCCCTTTTCTTCTTTTGCTTCAAACGTGCTGATAAAAAAAAAAATCAGTCAGTAAAGATTTCCCAGCATAAAAACAAGCGATTCTCTTTTTGCTCCTCTGCGACTACGGGAGTTGGTAATAATAATTATTATTGCTGCTGCTGCTGCTCTTGGAGCGGAAAGATCCAAAGCCGTTCCTCTCTCACTCCTTTGCGAGTTCCTCATCAACACTTGCCAACAATGAGCTGTGTTTCTTAGCCTGCTTTGGCCACAGCTAATATAGGATTTCAAAAGGGAGGAGCGAAAGCCCTCACAGGCAACCAGAAGTAAAACCTGGAGCAAGCGAGAAAAAAGCCAGGCGGAACTGGAAGGCATCCAAAGAACCCTGTTCCTTCTGGCTGAGTGACACGTGTGTTTGCTGATGGCCTCAGATCGCTGCGATTGCTAAGAAGCCACATCCCCACCGGAGCCTTTTATTGCCCATACAAAGCGGGGGGGGGGGGGGAGAGAGGAGGAGAGGAATCACTGATCTCTGAAACGGATCGGAGCTGGGTGGGAAGAGCGATGGGAGGAAAAAGAAACCCCGACCGCTATGAGAGCCATTGCTCGCAAGAATGGATCAAGCTTCGGTTTTGCTTCTCGTTCAGCCCTAATCTGTTTACATCCCTCCCACCTCCTTACATCTATTAGGCTATTAGGTGCTGTCACTGACTCCCAGAGCGCCGCGGACGTTTCTTTCGGGGCTATTCAATGTAGGGATTTGTTACACCTTGTCACGTCCTAGTCTCGTAAGAGTGCTTGTGGAAGCGCAAGAATTTCATAGAAAGCAATCGCAGGGAGGATTGTCCTTTCCTCGCCTTCAATGGCTGCGTTTCTCCCAGGCACACGCAAGAGTATAAATACCGCTACTTTAGAGCAAGAGGCAACTTCTTGGAAGCTTCTCAGTCTCTCGTGCACACCAGCGTGTTGCCTTGCAAAAGCCTGCACTAGCTCGCATGCACACACAACACACACACCCCCCATAGACAAACGAAGCGGATTCTGATGCGAGGTATCTAGAGGCTCTTGTCCTCCAGGGCACGCAGAGATCCAAGCCACGCTTTCGAGGTGACACCCAGCAGCTCTGTGGACATTTTGCGTTTACCTCTCCTGGTAGCTTTGGCATTCAAACGGAGGCGTCTCTGCTCTGCAAACAAACTCAGCGATCCTTGGTTCTAGAGATACAACCCCCCCCCCTAAAATAAACACAGCCACAGTCTATACTTGCCCTTGATCCAAGAGATGGGGGCAAAACCAGCACTGCCTGCAGCCCCCCTTCCTCTAAAGAGGCATTAGGTTTGCAGTTAGTAAACACCACGGCAGGTTTATATTGGTGTAAAAGAAGGTAACGCGATAACTGCTGTGTAAATACAAGCACGTCCCATCCCGCATCTTTTCTCTCTCTCTCTTATATATCTAGTGCTGGCGTTCTCTTGCAGCGTTGCTGACAACACAGCTGATAATACTTGGATAAATAAGACCATCCCTGGCGGACTAGCACGTCTCTAACTCTCCACTCAGGCAAGACACCAGACACCTGAAAGAGGACGGCGAAGGTTTAGCAATGGAGCACTTTAAATATTAACTTCCAAGGTAGAATCAGTGAGCAGCAAGCCTAAATTCTCAAGCGTGGATCTAAAGCCCAAGGACGATGGCTCTGATCTCCAAACTCAGGAGGGACTACTTGTCTTCTTTAATGAGGGGGGGGGGGCTCCCCACTTCACCACAACCACCACCACAACCACCACCACCACCATCACAATGTAGAATGAAGCCAAGTTGCCCCCTTGACACTTACCAGACAACTGAGTTTACATTTGGGTTTAATTTTAATATGCCAGCATTGCTGGAGTATACACATACAAAAGCCAGACTTGCACCAACATCTTATGAGCTGCGGTCACACGGAGCATTAGCCATGCTACAGAGATGGAAGATAGGCAGATTTTCCGGGCGTGATCAAACCGCAACATCTGGGAAGTGTAGAGCTCCCGTGTCTAACCTGAGGCTTCCCGCCGAAGATGCGCTGTAAAAACCTAGTACCTCCGAGGTACTAGTTTCCGGAAAACGCAGGGCAAGGGCGAGCGTCTGATCACGTTTCCGGTGGTAGCTCGTGGCATCTGGCGCCCGCCCATGTCCCGTCGCGAAAAGGTTTTTTTCCCCCAAGTCTCCATGGGATGCGCACAAGCACCCAACGGCGCATGTGCACACTTTGTTTTTTTTTTTAAAAAAAACACACAACCACCGCCTCGCCGCTTCTTTGTCGTGCTGCAGGATGGACGTATGATCGGCACCTCCCCCCGAACCACGGGACATCAGCTGGACATTTGATCCGGCGGCCGCGTGGTAGTTCGCTCCGGGGCAAACAGCCACGCCTCCCCCCGGTTATATCTGGCCCGTGTGACCGGGGGGGGGGGGCATGATTTATTTTTCCTCAGCTGTTCTCCCTAATAGAGACCCAAAACAGCTTACAACACCATTCTTCCCACTTCCACTTTATCCTCACAACAAACCGGTGAGTAGGGTTGCGAGCTCCCACTTGGGAAACACCTGGAGATTTGGGGGATGGAGCCTAAGAAAAGTGGGGTTTGGGGAGGGCACAGATTTCAGTGGGGCATGATGCCATAAAGTCCACCTTCCAAAGCAGCCATTTTCTTCAGGGGGACGGATCTCTGTCATCTGGAGATCAGCTGTAATCCTGGGAGATCTCCGCCCCCTACCTTGTCAAGTAGGTTAGGCTGAGCAACAGTGACTGGCTCAAGGTCACCCAGTGAACATCTGTTGCAGAGTGGGAAGTCAAACCTGGGTCTCTCCCTGGATACCCCAGGCAAGCCTGATCTCATCAGATTTCCAGAGCTATGCAGGGCCAAGCCTGGCACGTATTTGGATGTGTGACCTCCAAAGAATGCCAGGAGGCAGAGGCAAGCTATCAAGCCACATCTCTGAACCCCCTCCAGCCCCAATGGGGGTTGCTAGAGGTTGCCATGCCTTCCAGGCACTGGCGCACGCACGCGTGCACACACACACACACACACACACACACACAAAATACCAAAACAAAACAAAAATCTGCATCTCTCCAAGATCCTTGTCCAATACCCAACCATTAGAGCTCACTGGCTCAACATGATTGGCATACCCCTACTAGTACAAATCCCATCACTGGCAGAAAGGTATGTTTCAGAGCACCACAGGCAGGGTCCCTGCTTTGCCTGCCTCAGATAAGTCTCCCCCTTTTCACATTTTTACAGCTTCTGTCCAGTCTAACCAGCAGCAATTGTCCAACATCTCATCCAGGCACAGGTCTTGGTGCCCTGCAAAGCATGAGCACCATCAGCCCATTGGGGTGACTTTTCCAATTCTAGCCTGGCAGCTTTGATAGGAAGACTGTGCCAGCGATGTGATGGGACTGCAGGGTGACAATACATCATTTTAAGGACACCGTTTCAAACAGACAAAGAGAAAAGATAATCATCTACTTGGCAGAATGCAGCATGAGGAAATTCTGGTGAGGAGCTAAAAAAGAGGCCTGTCTGCAAAATATCACTGGATAGAATTTGAAAAGCAGGGAAACAGCTGATATTAAACAATGGAAGTTGACCAGGTTTCAAGGCTTACAAAGTAATAAAACAAAAATGACATCATCACAGGGCTGTGGCTCAATGGTAGAGCATCTGCTTGGCATGCAGAAGGTCCCAGGTTCAATCCCTGTCATCTCCAGTTGAAAGGATCAGGTGGTAGGTGATGTGAAAGACCTCTGGTTGAAACCCTGGAGAACTGCTACCATTCTGAGCAGATAATACTGACTGTGATGGTCTGATTTAGTACAAGGCAGTTTTACATATGTTCATATACCTGGCTGAAATCATTGCTGGAGTTTACACCTTTTATCTTTTGTAGCCACCTGATCAAAGGTATAAACAGGTGTTTATTGCCATATCTGATGTGATGAAGGGCTTTAAAAGAGAAAGCAAAACAGACACGAGCCATTTCTATACCTGATGGTAAACACAGGTGTATACTTTTTTTCTTGCAAATTCAATCAGGCTGAAGAACTGAGAAAAGAGGGGGGTCTACCATTCCATCAACTCCATAGTTTTGCTGATAGAAGCTTTCCCCTTATTGACTATTTGCTTTAGAATAGGAAGAACAGCAACAAACCACTGGCGAAAAAAGAGTGGGATTTGTATCTTTTTTCTCTTCCAGAGATAATAAGGCGGGGGGGGGGGGTCGGCAAACCTGAAAACTGCACAGTTCGGTCCAATCTGAATAAAGATCTATGTGGGTTGCTGTTTACATTTTTAAAATATTGGGAAGATTCAGTCATGGATCTTCCAACGTTTTGTCTGGTTTGACCCTGAATCTATGAATCCTAGCCATTCACAAGTAGGGGCCAAAATAAACACTATCACAAAGAATCTGTATATACATAAGAAAGTGAGGGGCGTGGGGAGTCTAAGGGACAAAAAGGGCATGTGGTTGTACTTGCAAGTGAGCAGTGCATGGGTGAAAAGTGTGGTTAAGGAGATGCACTGTAACTGATCTCTGTTGTCTTCTTCCCTGGAACTTTTCTCCAGTATTGAAAGGAAGCCTGAGATTGCTTGGGAAGGTGAGCTGAAGAAATTAACCCACAGGAAGGGAGAAGGTTCAGCTGCCCTCATGTGCACGGACCTTTTTCTCCTTCATTTGGATTCAGCCCTCAAATTTCTATGTGATTGTGGCAGATCTATCAGCCCTAGCCAGTGTTATATTTGAAGATTAATACATTTTACAAAGCTACACACTGGAAAGGATTAAGCAGATTGTGGATGACCTTTTAAAGTTTCATTTCCACAGAGTCAGGGAACTAGTACCAACTCTGGAGATGCCAAAGTTAATTGCAAATGGTTGACATAGAATGTAAGGAGCAAAGTCAAGCATGTAGATGCTTCCAGCATCTACTGAAATGGCATGAATCAAAATCTTACCAATTAAAATGGTGAATATTTATTTAGTACTGACACATAATATTTGTATAAATAGAAATCGATTGACAGTATATTGTGTGCAAAAAATTCTCAAGTTTTCCTCTGTTGGTTTCTATCTGTTTTAGCAAAGATGATTTAAATAGACAAAGAAGGATGATTCATACACACATGTCTATCATTCAACATCTTATTGCTTGATGGTTTTCAGCTGAACATGTGAGATGCCTGCAATAAAAAATACTAAGAGATGATGTTATGGAAGTTCTGTCTGTTGACCAGTGATAGCTGTTTTAG